GGCTGGGCGTATCACCCAAGACACAAGCGCCCACAAGGGACGGTACATCAGTCTCCCACTGCATACAGTGGTTAGGGATACACACGTCCAAGGTTTGCTAACTCATGAGCTACTGAATTGGCACTCCTACAAACAGAGATCGAGAATTTTGAAAACCAAAGTTTGAGTTGATATTTCATGTCCTCAATCACCGCTGCGTACGCCGAGGAGTCCACCTTTCCCAGGTCGAGAGCTTCAGCTAGAAGTTGTGAATCGGTTTCAAACTCCACCCTGACCATGCCTAGCTCTGCTGCAATGTTAATCGCATGAGACATGGCTTGGGTTTCAGCAGCGAAAGCATCATACACATAATCCTGACACCCTGCCCGGGCGCATAACGGGTGGCCTTCAGATGAGTGCACCGCGACCCCCCAGCCAGCATGGTTCTGCCCCGGAGTAAAAGAGTCATCGACGTTAATCTTGTACTCACCCTCGACTGGGGGTCGCCACTTGTCAAGGGAAGGCTTCGGTGCAGTATCCACAAAAATCTACATGAACTCGGTGACACTACTTTTAGCCCTTCTAGCCAACTCGTCAGCTGCAGCAGGTAGAATCCCTTCTTGGAGTTTGTTCCGGTTGGTCCACCATAACCGCCAATACGTAAGCACCAAGAGGTGCTTTTTTATATCCATCCCCCATAGGAAATCCATGGTTGCATGCACGCCCGTTATACGCTCAAGAGCACGACGCTCCCCCTCCATGGCCAGCTCTCTCCATCCACCCTTGACCATTTTGCACTTAATGAACAGGTGGGCCCCGTCTTCATCTGCATTGCCGCAAAACAGGCATTTTGTATCAGCAATAGGGATGCCTCACCGAGCCACATTCATCCTGAGAGCAAGAGAATCATGCTTGACGCGCCAAGTGAACATCTGAATAGTTTTTGGGCAAGGGAGTTTCCATATCCGTTTCCACGAGTCATCATCACCTCTATCAAGCACACCTGGGTTTGTGTTGCTACCACCCATGCCACCGTTCATCCTTGTCTTTTCTAGCTGGCCAAACAATTTGTATGCTGATTTAACTGAGTGGATGCCTTTACTGTCATAATGCCACGCAATGAAGTCTTGCGCCCCCTCTCTCAACGGGATCTGGAGAATGTGTTTAACATCCTCAAGCCAGAACGTGTCCCTTACTAGTCGCTCGTCTCACTGGCCGGTTGTCGGATCAATGAGATCGCAGACTCTTTCTAGGAGATTAGGGCCCCGAGCTGTAATGACCCGGCGCGACCAGGGCCTAGGTATCCATGGATCCAACCAGATGTCGACTTGAGTGCCATCCCCTATCCTCCATATATATCCTTCCTGAAAAAGTTGGAGCCCATGCAGTAGGCTTCTCCATGAGTAGGAGATACCGTCTCTCGGGGCAGCCTCGAGGAGTTGATCATCCTGGTAGTACCGAGCACGCAATAGTTGAGCACATAAGGAATCCGGGTACTGAATTAGACGCCAAATTTGTCAGGATAGCATGGCGATGTTAAACCCGTACATATCCTGGAATCCAAGCCCACCCTGGGATTTTGGCAGCGTAAGACTCTTCCATTTGATCCAGTGGGTGGTGCACTCCTTGTCTTGCTGACTCCACCAATAGTTTCCGAGCATCGAGCTGAGTTCTCCGCAGAAAGATTTGGTTAGGTCGAAGCACGACATGGTGAAGGTGGGTATAGCTTGGGCAACAGTAGTTACTAAGGTATCCTTCCCCGCCTTTGCAATGAGCCGTTCCTTCCAACCATACACCCGGCCTGCCATAGCTCCCTTAAAGAAAGCAAAGGCTTTCTTTCGTGACTTGCCCACATGAACTGGCAGGCCCAGGTATTTGTCGTTCCACTCTTCGCTTTGGATTTGCAGAGAGTTCTTTACAGCAATTCTAACCCCAGCATCTGTATTTGGACTGAACATCACGGCGGACTTCATAAGGTTTATGCATTGTCCCGAGCATGCCTCATAGAGATCAAGCACCCTACACAGCTCATAGGCCTCCTCCTGCTTAGCTCTCAGAAGGCGAAGAGAATCGTCTGCGAAGAGCAAGTGTGACGCCACGGGAGCCCCCTGACAGATTCTGATTCCGCTAATCCTCCCCGCCGCCTCCGCATCATGCAATAAAGCCGAGAGGCCCTACGCACAGATGACAAAAAGATAGGGCGAAGCGGGGTCTCCTTGCCGTAAGCCCCGGGAAGGTGACAACTGTTCGGTCAACTCCCCGTTCACCTTAATCTGGTAGCGGACAAAAGAGACACATGACATGACCAAGTCGATCCACCTAGCCCCGAAACCAAGCTTGGTCAGCATAGCTCTAAGGAAATCCCATTCAACCTTGTCGTATGCTTTACTCGTATCCGCCATCACAGCTGCGATTCCTTCCTTCGCTCTCTTCTTATTCAGGAGGTAATGTGACAGCTCATACGCCACTAAGACATTGTCCGTTATCATTCTCCCGGGGACAAAAGCGTTTTGGTTGGAGGAAATAATCTTCGGGACAATGATCTTGAGGCGATTAGCAATAACCTTGGAGACCAATTTGTATATCACATTGCATAAACTAATCGGACAAAGATCTTTGATCCTGCTAGGGCATCTCACTTTAGGAATCAAGACCACAGTTGTGTCATTCCATCCCTCTAGCATGGCGCCACCATTAAGAACAGCCATGACCTCCTCGATAACCTTCTCCCCCATAAAGTGCCAATGCTTCTTATAGACCACCGAGGGCATACCGTCCGGCCCAGGGGCCTTAAAATCCCAAATGTGATCAAGGGCGGCTTTAATTTCCTCCATAGTAACTTCTGCTTCCAGAATCGCCCTCATGGCAGCCGTGACACGGGGCTGCACTTTATCTATGAGCTCAGGGAGGCGGTTGACTCCAGCGGTGGTTATGCAAACACAGTTGAAAGCAAACAAAAATGCATAAAAACACCAAAGAGTGGCATTCTATCCCTCCAAATGATTTCCTCCCTCTCCATCCTTGCAATCATCTTCTTCTCCCTTATGTGCTTCTCTAATTTATGAAACCAAGATTTCTGTAAAGAGCAAAGAACAAATTAAATTAAATTTCAGCAGACATATGTTTCCTTGCATCTTGTGTTGTACAGTAGCTACGGGAATAAATATACGAAAACAAAAAAGTGAGTGATTTCTATTAACAAGAGATCACCTATGTAATAGCTACAAACAAATGAACCTGCTACACCAACTCATATCATGTCTTACATTGATATTCTCCACGTGTTTCACAGATAAACCATCAACTATTTGTCATAAAGTATTTGTCATGGAAAGAAAGATTGGGTTCTTTAAACTTCTAAGGGAAAGAAAGATGCCATGGCCTTGCTCGCTACTATTCTGAATGGATGAAAGGGACATGCTTTGGAGTCTGGAGTACTTAGGAATGAATTTGAGAGTGTCACTTATAGCACTGGATGCCACCATTTATTTTCAGTAATGTAACTGCAGTAATGGATAATCTCACTAACTTCTGTAACTTCCTTTGAATGCAAACTAATCTGTACAGTTTAGAGTTCACAGAAACTCATTCACGTGTAAACACAAAATGTAGCTTTCATTTTACAAACTAAATGTAAGTGGCACCAAACTAAATAGAACATGAGATGAATAGTAACACTTCAAACAAAACTCTATTAGCTTTAGAAAATTTATGTACAACATATTGAGGAAGAGAAACATTTAGAACAACAAATTGCCAGGGCAATTTAGAAGGGACCCAATTAGAATATCATCCTATGTGTCTATAAAGGCAGAAACGTAGTGGAAAAACTATTGTCATAATAAGAAATTAGGAGAAGATGAAGGAAGGCATTGAAGTTTCACTCTTCTGGATAATCATAAAAACGTAATCATGTGACGCTCGAAAATACATCTTGATCTTTAGAACTTGTGAAGCGGGTTAAAGCATGTATAATGACCACAACTACAATTATCGCAAAACCCAAGTTACTTCCCAGAATTATCCAACAACTATTGCTCTAGAAGCTTCGTTGTTGTTTGCAGCCACCCATGACAAAAAAAGCACTTGTGAATTTGTATTTGCTACAATTTATGTGTTCTCAACATTGAAGAACAACTTTTAGTAATCAATAATGAGCCTAGTAAGCCCACCATATATCACACCAAAAGCTGAATGATAAATAACCTGATGTTATGCCCTGTGTTGAAGACATCAATCATGGATTCGGGGAATATATTGGGAGAAGAGAAGCAATTAGCCTGATGGAATTCCTGTTATGAAAAAAAATCCTTGTACAGAAACACACTGAATTCCATGATGACTTTAACGGGGCCATGTCTAATGATAGAGAAGAAAAGAGACTCTGAAGTAATATCATTTGCGAATTTGTGCATAGTTTCATCAAATGCATTAATATTCTTACCTATACGCAAGATCATTTGCAATACTTCCTCCAATGCACCCTTGTTTCGACATCATGCTGCCCGCTGACTACTAAAAATATGTTTATGAGGAATATATAGATGTTTCAAATCAAAAGACCAAGTGGAATAGATAAAATTAGTAAGGAATATGTTGTAGCATGGCAAACCCCTTGTTTCTAAATAACATGTATGCTAGTGTGTAGAGGTAGTTCACTGGGATTATTACTATGGTTTGTATACTAGTTCACTTTCCATGAATTTCCCTCTAATTCAGCTTATCCATGGATGATTTTTTAAGAGAAAACTAACTTTACATATACGTCACACATAAAAACTCCCGCACGAACTGAGCATTTGCAGATGATACAACACCATAGTTGCCTACAATAATCTGTACACGTTCGATTTAGATGAGTACCACAGCTCCACGGCGGTGAGTGTCGCTCATAAACGTTGATTTATATCTCTGCTGAAAGTTTCAGTCTGTTACTAATTTTACGGCACCCAGCAAGCAGCAGGAATAATAAGATTACCAACCAACTGATGATGAGAGATCATAGAGAAGAGTAGAGGGGCTTACCAGAGGGGCGGGCAGACATGGGAAGTCGACCAGGAGCAGGCCAAACGTCTCCTCTCCGAGGTACGGCCAGCATCAATGCCGGTGTGTGTCGCACCGCTCCGCTGGCTAGGGTTGGGCGCTGGTGGTGTCTGCCATGTGCCTGCACCTGCGTGTTGAAGGGAACGACGTATCAGGGAAGGGGGGAAGGGAAGGGAGGGTGAGAAGACCAGATCAAAGAGGAGAAGATGGGAAAGATATTACCTTGATGGGCAAGAGATGGGTGAGGAAGAGTTGCGTGCGTCGCGGGCGAGCAGAAGCCAGCTCGCGAGCATCTCCGTCCAGGACCTTGACGATGGCGTGAATCCTCCATCTAGCCGCCAGGTGAGGTGGAGACGATAGGATTGGGACGGAGCTGACGGCCGTCTCATCAGGCACGCCCGCGCGAGAGAGTGAGCGGACGTGGGGATGGAGCTACAGGTCGGAGAAGGCCTTAACAACCATGGCGGATGGATCTGGGGGCGCCATGGCCGTCGCTCGACCTGCTTTCTCGATCTCTCTCTTCTATTGTCTTTTGGTGAGGGGATTGGATGGGAGAGGGTGGTGGCAAAGGCTGTGGGGGAGAGAGTGGAGGCCATGGCCGGCGGCGAGGTCGGTGTTGGGTGGCGGTGGCGATCTGGGACTGGGAGGATGGGAGGGGACGGGACGGTTGCTCTATCCAAGATAGAATTTTTTACCGGGCCGACGAGTAAAGAAAAATTTATTGCTGCTCTCTTCTCTATGTCGCGGGCAGCACGATGAAGACCATGTAGTAGTGTGGGGTTTATACACCGTGCTACTACTACCAACTTAGTAGTACCATGAATTTGTACCCCGCGCTACTACTACTGCTTGTCCCGGCGGGCATGCTGGAGACCACTTAGTAGTAACGTGGGTTTATAGCCCGCGCTACTACTATCAACTTAGTAGTAGCATGGGTTTATAACCCGCGCTACTACTAATTAGCAGTAGTGTGTCTTTTTATACCGCGTTGCTGGTAAGATCCTGTGTATAAGGTTTTCCCTAGTAGTGAACACCTCTCCTCCCGAGGTTATTCATCCAATGTACTAGTTCATCCTTAGCCCGCGAGGCAATTCACCACCACCACACTGGAGTAGGGTATTACACCGCAAGGTGGCCCGAACCAGTATAATTCTTTGTGTTTCTTGTTATTTGGGTTCGTCGACATATGCCGTGAGAGCGTTGAGCGAGAGAACTAGGGAGAGAGAGTCCTTCGTGCGCACCCTAGAGTTTGAACCTCACAAGGGTTTGCCGGAACACGCAATCTGACATTTTCCTTTTAAACTTGATGCTTCGCCCCCTCAAAGAAAACTTGGTGCTTCGCGCGATCCATCGATACTACTACTTGTAATCCGGTAACCCCGACTAAAATGGCGCGGCCGGGTCTTTTCCCACGCGATATGCTTGGAGGTTGGCTTAGTTGGTTTTTTAGGACGAGTAGTGCTAAACCTATGTAATTTCAGTTACATAATTAACATAATGTGAAATATGTGAGCTGTTGATTGTACATTGAGGGGAGGGAGGGACCCACCAGCATGAAAATCAAGGGGGAGAGAGAGAGGCAATTTTCGTTAACCCTTTCGTAGGTCCTTTAGATGTAGAAATATGTGAAATGCGTGAATGTGTAGTGGACATACTATTGGAGTGCCTAAGATAAATTGCGTATGTAGACCCTATGTGTTTATTTACTTCGCATGTTAGCCTTGTCTATGGTCAAACCTTCTAAGTTCATACACACAAAAACGAATCATCATTCCATATACTCCCACAATATATCTTACTATTATTGTGAAAGTTCATATACACCGGATGAGATTAATGCAAACACGGCATGTTTTCATTACATTTCGAACTTTCATAGGACAGAAAAATATAAACAAACCCGACCCTAAACCTATTCTATAGTGGCGACCGACGTCCTCCATCTGCGATCTCCATGTACGAGGGCGGGGTTCAAGACCCGTAAAGTGAAGGTGCGGTCTCCGGCGAGGAAGAGTAGAACACAGGAGACGGACCGGCCAGTTGGCACACCATGCCCTGCCGCCTCCCATGCCCTACTCGTCCTCGGAGGAGTCCCCGACCTCGGCGGTGCCGAACGTTGGATGGCGGCAAGTTGGACGTGTGGCTGATGGTGCTCCCGTCATTGGCCGCCAGCATGACCACCACTTGTGCGGTCGCGGCCGCGTCCACCTGTGCCGCTATTGCGTCACGAGAGAAGACTTGAGAGAGGGCGGTGACCTCGAGCTTCATCCCCGAACCAAGCTCTCCTGCAGAGCGTTCGCTCTTGCGGTCATGGCGGAAGTGGTGCCAGGTGGGAGGACGATGCACTATGGTGTGGAGTTTAGCTGGGAGTTGCCGCTTTAAGTAGCGCATTCCAGTGAGGCCAAGCATCTGGGTGCGTCATTAAGTCACCAGAGTAGGTTCTTCGGGCACTGAGCCTCTTAATGACGGCATATGGACGAACGACATGAATGCGGGCAGCTGGCACCGGCTGGGAACGCACCGTGTCACGGCATGAGGGACGAGGGTTTTTGGTGTGCCAGGGTAGTCAGTTGTGGTCGTGGCAATGTTGGAGATGCCCTTTGTGTCGGATTACGGGTTCCGGCAAACCCTTATGAGGTTCGAACTCTGGGGTGCGCACGAAGAACATTATCTTCCTAGCTCGCTCGCTCAACGATCCCACGGCCTTACTCGATAGACCCAAAGAACAAGAGACACGGGGGTTTATACAGGTTCCGGCCACCTTGTGGTGTAATACCCTACTCCAGTGTGTGGTGGATTGCCTCGAGGTGAAGAGGATGAACTAGTATAGTGGATGAACAGCCTCAGGAGGTGAGGTGTTCTTGGGTTTGATGAGCTGATGTGTGTGACGATGATCTCTCTCCTCGCTGCTACAGTAATGGCTAGGCCCTATTTATAGTGGCCTTGGTCCTCTTCCAAAATGTTATGCGGGAAGGGATCCCACAATGGCCAAGTTTGAAGGGGGAAAACCAGTACACGCTCTCCTGACAAAAGGTGGTCTTCGCCTGCCAAAGGCTCTGGTGGTGATGTTGTTGTGGGCTCCGCGATGACCTCTCTCCTGTCGTCCTGGCTATCTTGGTCTTGTTGCACCAATATGGAAACCTTTGCCTGATGCCTCAGGACCCGTGCCTGCGCTTGCCTCCTTAGCACCAAAGAGGAAACTGGTAGACTGCGCCTGCTGGCGTCCGCCCGGCCTTGGTCGTCATGGCTCATGTCACATGAACCTCGCGAGATGCCCCTTGCATAGATATCTCTGCTCCTCGGGAGCCGGCCTAGTGAGGCTACCCCCAGGGAGGTCTTGGTGTCATCCGCCTCGCAAGGGTCTTGGGTGGTCGCTGTTGAAGCTGGGCCGTACTAGGCCGTTGGAGGAGCCACACTTTGGGCCGTAGGCAGGCATGTCTGGGCACCCCCAGTCCCAGAATGCCGACAGTAGCCCCCGGGCCCAAGGCGCACTCGGACTTGGCTTCGAGGCAAAGCCAAAGGGAAAGTGCGGAGTGCCGTGTGCCCCAACCGCCTGCGACCTTGATTGACGTGTGGTGATTGGTGGGATGCGAGTGACTCCGCTTCCCCATGCTGCATCGCGAACTGTTCAACATGACAAGACCCTGCTGCATGCAGAACAAAACCATCATTACCTGCGATCATGGATGCCGGCGTTTGGCCTCCTTCTGGCTATAAATGAGGAGAGGGCCGGAGCCCCTGTTGCTCATCTCCTTCTCCATGCTGCCTGCTTCTTCTTCTTCCTCCTCGCCTCACCGTCTTGCTGTATTCCCATGGCACGGACCATGGGGAAGATGGTCGCCACATATGGTGCTGCCCTGAAGACAGCGCCGACGACGATGAGCTCGGCCTAGGCGACGGTCGTGATGAGGTTGAGGGCGAACTCGCCCTTGGAGACGGCCGCGGTTCGCCCAGCGGAGGCAGCTTCTCCGCCAGCGAGAGCACCAACAGCAACGGCTACGACCAGCCGCCGCGTCGCCGGGCTCGCTTCAAGCACGGTGGCGGGTCGTCCCGCCGCCACGCGACGGTGAAGCACGAGAGGGGCTCAGTCTAAGCTGAGTCCGGGAGACCCTCGGTGCCGGTCCTCGCAAGCCGCCACAGCCGCAGGGGCCGCTTTTGTTTGGCATTTCCCTTCTTCCTGCATTTTGAAAAGAAGGTAAATGGCCCTGCTGGGGTGTGTAATGAACTATGGTATTTATTCTATTAAGTCATGCTTAACACGCTCGAGGTTGGTTTCCGTCTCGTGAGGGCGCGCCTCCTGGCACCTGGTGAGGCTTCCTTGTCGCCGACTCGGGGGGCCGTTGTCCTTGGGATGCATTGCAAAGCTGCAAAAGTTTGTTAGGACATCTGCCGGGAGCCTTGTTCCTCCTTGCGCGTGCCCTCAGGCATGGGATAATCATGGCTTAGTGCACCATGTCGCGGTACCCGTGGGGCACGAACTTAGGAGGGTGCGCCAATCACGAGCCCGGTCGAGGGTGCCTCACAAATATCAAGGGAGCTGAAGCTCTGGGGTGGCAGGGCTTCGGCGAGGTGTGTCCATGGTTTAGGCTAACCCGGCACACGCACATACCTACCAAGCCCCCGCGGGAGGCGCACGACAAAGAGCGTCGGGCAACTACCGTCCTCCTTGGCGCAAGACAAAGAAGCGTGCGAAGAAGTAAAAGAGAGGGGAACTCAACCAAGCAATCGAGAAACGCCGGAACTCCAAATTTCAATTAACAGGTTGCAAACCAGCTATAGAAAGCAAATGAACAACCGCGCCCGACACGTAGTCTAGTATTCTCACCATAGCAGAGCTAAGTGCTGCCACTAGGACGTGGGAGGGAGCCCCCGAGGCCCAAGGGCGGCACTCCGAAGACTTCGGGGTGTGTACAGCCCCACTAATTATTACATGAGTGTCACGGGTGGATATCTTCACAGGCACTGGGCCTTGCTTCATGGGTAGAACTTCCAGAGGTGTTTGATGTTCCACGCGTTCTGGATGGGGATACCGTCTTGCGTCTCCAGGCACGCAGCGCCAAGCCTGGAGACGCGGGCAATCCTAAACGGTCCCTCCAACATGGGTGAGATTTTATGCAGCCCTTCCCTGGACAAGATCGCCCACCTCGAGCATCCTGAAGCGGACGCAACGGCAGTGGTACCGCCGCAACGCCTACTGGTACATTGCCACACGGAGCGAGGCTTGGCAGCGGTGTTCCTCCCCCAGCACGAGGTCCATCCCCTGCATGGCGCCCTGACGTGCCTCGTCAAACGCCAAGACCCGTGTGGAGCGATGCTTGACCTCGTGAGGGA